TTATGATAGAATGTGATAGGTTAGTACCTTAACACTGGTTAGGTCGAGAGATGCTATCGTAAGGATTGATTGGGTGTACAGCCCGTAGTCAGGGTGTGATCCGTGGATGGAGTCACAGTGGTATGGTGTTTGCGGATAGAGATGTGGATTAATAGTGAGGAGGGTGAGAACCTTTACTCTGCTGGATAGTTAGAAGAGTGAATCCTTGAAAGCCTTGTCGGCGACTTGTAGTGGTGTCGGGGTTTGGTTCATGATGGTTGTCTAGCGGTAGTTTTGACTAGTGGTTTAGCACGGAGGCTGGGCCTCTGGAGGGTGCTTTCGGGATGGGTGGCAGGCAAGATGTGGAGATTTGATGTGATGGTTAGATGTGAAGGTTTCGAGAGTTGCGCGGTGTTGGCAAGACTATGTGAGAATGTTCGAAGGAATGTGAGGTTTGTATCTCGAGTTAGTGGGAATGGTACCTGTATGTTGGTTCGTGTTTTGGGTCTTGCTAGTCAGTGAGTCCGTGGTGACCCCATTGGTTGTATGGGGGTAGCGTTCGTGTTGTGATTGGTTATCAATCGTTGGGTTTGGGTTGTGAGTGGATGCTGACAACATTCTTTGAAGGAAGAGCAGTTCGTGTTCTAAAGTAATGAGTATAGCGTTGGTCAAAGTGGTCCTTCGTGTTTGGGTTGTTGTGATTGAGGGTGACCATGTCGGTCTTTGGTCAAGGAAGTGAGTAGGCTTGCTAGATAGCCATGGCGGGAAATAGTGATTCCCTTAGACGCAGTGTTGATGCGGTTCAGTTTTAGGAGATCCGGAGAGATTCCAAAATTTGTGGTTTGTGTAGAGAACTCCGTGGTTGGGGTTAGTGGTTTTAGTGGCACGTCAGTGTGTGGATTACTGAGTGTAGAGTTTATTGAGTTGATTAGTCAGCTTGTCGGTGTCAGGTTTTGGGTTGGCATTGGTCACCTTGAGTTTAGTCTCGTTTGTTGTAAACTTTGTATGTTGATTAGGGAAAACTGAAACTAATCGAACATGTTTTGTCGTTGAATTTGACGGTTGGAATAATGCATCTAATATATGTATTGATTGATCATTATGAATGATTGGCTTTTATACATTATGTATGTATGATGTTTGGTTTGATATTGATACAACACTAAAATGTGTATCATTTGTGTGTTAAGGGGGGGTATTGTGGGGGTGAGATGCGATCTCATTTGGTTGTTGGCCAAGTCCTGAGCCGTATTTATGACTTTCTTTTTTTTGTAAAGGGAGGCGGGATAAAATTTGTCTTATACCTTATGTGTTGATAGTACTGTTGTTATTTCTATTAACTATCATTATAGAAATGTTGTGTTCCATGTTGGTTGTGGCATCCCCATGTGAGTGATGGTTGTTGATAGTGTTACTTTGGAAAGAAATGGAAAACAAAATTTTCCCAGTGTTTGGGCCATCTGAGGGCGTTGTTGAAAAATTGATTTAAATTCAAGGATTTTAAAGAATTCTAGATTAATCTTTTAGGCAAATAAACTGTGGATAACTCTGCATTTTGGGTAACACCGTATTTGTGAAAAATGTTTACAAAGCTTTTGAATTTTCGTATGGAAAATGCAAGATTTATTCCGGAACGTTAACGTTGAAAATTTAAACATCTTTGAGAAATGCCTCTTGAACAAGAAAATGTTTTCTTATTATCTACTCTAAAGAATTGCTTTGATCGTGTTGTTGAGTAGTGAC